GGAGGGCGGGGGGGTCGAACGGGCTCTGCGGCAAACCTTTGTCTGCTGCGCGGGGAGAACCGAGCTCCGGGGCCGAGGCCGAGACTCAGCCCGGTCTGGAGCTGCAGCCTGCGGGGAGAGAAGCTGGTGTTGGTGGAGGCCAGTGTAGCAGAGCAGGGTGGGGTTAAAGCTAAGGCAGCGCAGCCTCATCTGTCACCGCTGCAGATGTTTGTTGGTTCAACGACACCGATTATTGTCACGTTACTGACCGGACGTGGTTCCAGCTGCTGCGGCCACACACACCGCGCCACAGCCGCCACTGCGCTGTGTTAACAACACGGCTGTAGTGATGAAGATGATGATGATGATGAAGAAGATGATGGTGGTCCTCACACCGAACCACACTGTGTTTTGCCTCCAAAACGCGGCCTCGGTGGGCGGCACCGACCACTGGAAACACGTCGACGAACCGCACATTTAGATGATTAGTCGTGGTTAGTCGTGGTTAGTCGTGGTGTTGGCCGGATGTTGACGGTGCCGTTTGGAAGAGGAAACTTCAGAGCAGTTGCTGTGAACTCCCAGCTGTGAACACCGTCCACCAATCAGGAGAGTTTTAAAATACGCACATTTTCTCATGGAGTTTGGTTCAGAGTGAAGAGTTGATCCAGGAAAGAAGGCGTCTGTGTCAGAACATGACACTGGTCATCACCCCCCCCCCCCCCCCATCATCATCATCATCATCATCATCATCTTCATCTGGTTGGAGTTTGTGTTGTTTTAGTTGATAGTCTTGACTGTAGTCGTGGTGAAAAGTCAAACACTTCCTGTATTTGTTTCCACGTCGACGACTCTTTTGTTTCTTCTCCTGTGGTGAAGAGACTGAACAAAAAAACAGAACAGTTTTACATGAAACTGATTTTTTTAATTCACCTGGTTTAAATCAGTGGTTGTCAAACTATGGTACGCGGTCACTGGTGGTACCTGGACTAGGTGAGTCAGTATAAAAAAAAAGAATTCAGGTTGAAGTAGCAGCTGTAGTACTACTTCACGGTACTGAAAAAACTTTCTGTCTGAAAGTCTTACCTGAGCTGCTGGTACTGTTGCTGGTACTGTTGCTGGTACTGCTGCTGGTACTGCTGCTGGTACTGTTGCTGGTACTGTTGCTGGTACTGGTGTACTGTGTTCTTTCCTTGTTGTTGTTTTTTTCAAATGTTCAGTTTGAAGCAACAGAACCAAAAGTTCTGCTGAAGTTCTGGTCCTCTGGACCAGTTTTTGTGTCGGACCAGCAGTTTTACTGGTACATTTTATATGAATGTAGTAACAGGTAGTTACAGTAGTAATCAGCAGTGTTCATGTTCATGTTGAATGTTTGTGTTTTTATCCAGATTGGATTCACAAACATTTGAGGGAAACGGTCTTTTATGTTGACTATAGGAGTTTAAAGATGAGGGTCACTGCCCTCTGGAGGGACGGCCGTGAAGTGGCCCAGTGTTCTGGTACCATTCTGTTCTGGGTTTGTGCTGACACTGAAGTTCATTAAAACAGTGACGCGTCATCACGTCGTCGTAGATGCACCAACCCAGGGGTCGGGGACCAGAATCAGGGACCGTGTCCAGCGGTCCGGACCGGTTAGCACATGTTCCTGGATTTACAGCTCAGTACCACTGTACCAGTGTACCAGTGTGCTAGTACTGCGTACTTTGTTAGCCTAGCTGTTTCCTGTGGTCTGATTGGTGCGTTTGGGGGTTGATGTGATTTGTAGTTTTTTTTTTTTAAGTCTCAGAGGGTTGACCTTTGCTGTGACCTTTACTCACACACTCTGCACCTCATAAGTGGGCGGGGCTTCCTGACCTTCAATATATTTGACCCCAAATAGACTGGACCGTGACTGAGGTGGGGGTCACGGCCGCTGAGGATCCTGGGTAAAGTGGTCCGTCCAGTCGGTGCCGGTGTTTGTTTGAAGTTTTGATGAAGTGCTGACTCCACGGCAACGTGTTTACATGTCACACACACACACACACAGAGGAAGTGTGTGTGTGTGTCAGCTGACCTCCTTCACTTCTATCTGTGTTTTTCTTGGTGATGATTGAAGAACGTGTCGCTGACTTCTTTTTTTCCACTCAGCTTGGACTTCCTGTCTCCGCCCACAGGCCACGTCCTCTTGGCCACTTCCTGTTAGGAAACAGGTGGGGGGGGGGGGGTTCTGAGGGGGAGACGTGTGTGTGTGTTGATGAGGTTTTTACGTTTGACCTTTGCATCGGTGCCTGTTTGTTCCAGTGAATCGGTACCAGAACTGTTTTTCTGACAGACCAAACCTCATAGAGAAAATGAGAGATTTTAGCTCCGATCTTTTGACTGATGACGACTTTGGTTTCTGTTCTTTAATCGTGCGTTGTGTTTGGGAAATGTAACGGAGTCAGGGATTGGCCGAGTGAACAGGAAGTGAAGCCAAAGACGAACTGAAGCCGAGCTGAAGCGGCAGATGTGATTGACCTTTGACTCCTGGCTCAGCGGAGCTTCACCTGCTGAGGTCGGCACTACATGACAGTCATGTGACCCTCTGGACCGGGGCTGACCGGTCAGCTGACAGAAAGATGAACAGGAAGGAAGGAAGTGCAGCACAAGCTACCAAAATAAGATACCGGCCGACAGGAAGTGGAATATTCCATGGACGAGGATGTAACCTGCGTGTGTGTGTGTGTGTGTGTGTGTGTGTGTGTCACGGCGTTAGCTCAGATCATAACACCTGCGTCTAACGAAGTCGGTCTCCAGTCTTCATGTCCAGACTTGAACCCGACTCTGACGCTGACTCCCGTCCCTGCAGACCTCTCCTCTCTCCACTGGTTGGCGCCGTGATGTCAGTGTTTGAATAGCGTGCAGCGGAGCGTTCAGGCGTGTTCACACGCAGTGGTTTGTTTTTCAGGAGGTGTGATCCACCTATGCAGCAGCAGCAGCAGCAGCAGCAGGTTGTTGGTTCAGTTCCAGTCACTGTAAATGTCAGCGAGGGAAAAACTGACCTTTTCTTCTTCCTGTTGAAGAAGTTCCTGTGAAGCGTCACCAGGAAGTGGTTTGTTCCACTCTGTTTGTCCTTGTCTGACATCCGTCAGTCAAAGTTGGACCTGGGTCAAAGTTGGACCTGGGTCAAAGTTGGACCTGGGTTTAGGTCCTGGTGACTGTGGCCTGCACCAAACCTCATAGAGAAAATCAGTGATTTTAGCTCAGACCTGATTTAAAAACAGTTTAAAGGTTTTGAAACAAACATGATGTAAAACTTCAGAACGATTGACGTGTTTTTGATGTTCAGCAGTTTGACCTCATCTTCCTCTTCTTCTTCTTCCTCTTCCTCTTCTTCCTCTTTCCAAATCTCTCAGAGTCTTCAAGAAGTCGAGCCCCAACTGTAAGGTTAGTCTCTTCCTGTTTGTGTCTGAGTGGTTTGATGGTCAGTGCTGGTCAGTGCTGGTCAGTGACGGTCAGTGCTGGTCAGTGTCTTCATCTGTGTTTGTGCCCTGACCTATCGTGACCTCAGGGTCGGTCACCTGATGAGTTCTTGTCACCTGGTCTCAGGTGACGGTGTACCTGGGTAAGAGGGACTTCGTGGACCACCTGGACCATGTGGACCCAGTGGGTGAGTGACGGTGGAACCGATCTTCACTCACTGTTGGAACTGTTTCTGACGCTGCCGTCTGTGTTTAGATGGTGTCATCCTTGTTGACCCCGAGTATCTGAAGGACAGGAAAGGTAAGGGGCTCGGTGACCTTTGACCCACAGATGTGCTGGTGTGTGTGTGTGTGTGTGTGTAACCTGGGTCTTGTGTGCAGTCTTCGTCACGTTGACCTGTGCCTTTCGTTACGGCCGTGAGGACCTGGACGTCCTGGGTCTGTCCTTCAGGAAGGACCTGTACATCTCCACCTTCCAGGTGGGACGCTGGCTCGGTCCAACAGACTCCGCCCACTGTCCTCCCTGACACTGTTGACATTCATGTGTGTGTGTGTGTGTGTGTGTGTGTGTGTGTGTGTCAGGCTTTTCCTCCGGTGCCCGAGGAGAGAAAAGCCAACAGTCGACTGCAGGAGCGGCTGCTGAAGAAGCTGGGCCAACACGCCCACCCTTTCTACTTCACTGTGAGTCCCTGTGTGTGTGTGTGTGTGTGTGTGTGTGTGTGTGTGTGTGTGTGTGTGTCTGTTCTCTGACATCACAGTCTCTGCTCTTTCAGATCCCACAGAACCTGCCCTGTTCAGTCACTCTACAGCCTGGACCAGAGGACACAGGGAAGGTAGGTGTGACCCCCCCCCCCTCCACCCCCCCCACACCAGACCATGTGACCTGAACACTGTCAGTCTTCACCTGATCTTCCTCCTCCTCCTCTTCCTCCTCCTCAGGCCTGTGGAGTGGACTTTGAGATCAGAGCCTTCTGTGCCAAGTCTGTAGAAGAGAAGATCCACAAGAGGTGAGTCTGACCCCGGAGTCTGACCCCGGAGTCTGACCCCTGAGTCTGACCCCTGGAGTCTGACCCTGGAGTCTGACCCTGGAGTCTGACCCCTGGAGTCTGACCCCTGGTGTGTGACCCCGGGTGTGTGACCCCTGGTGTGTGTGTGTGTGTGTGTGTGTGTGTGTGTGTGGAGCAGGAACTCGGTGCGTCTGGTCATCAGGAAGGTCCAGTACGCTCCAGAGAAACCTGGTCCTCAGCCCATGGTGGAGACCACACGCAGCTTCCTGATGTCTGACCGGTCACTGCACCTGGAGGCTTCTCTGGACAAGGAGGTGAGACACACACACACACACACACACACACACACACACACACACACACAAACTAAACTGTATGGTCTGTATGGTATTAAAAGAATCCCCGCCCGTCCGTGTGTGTGTGTGTGTGTGTGTGTGTCAGTTGTATTACCACGGTGAACCCATCAGCGTCAACGTTCACGTCACCAACAACTCCACTAAAACAGTGAAGAGAGTGAAGATCTCTGGTACGTCTCCTCTTCTTCTTCTTCTTCTTCTTCTGGTTTGTCAGTTGATCAGGAATCTGATTGGACGTTTCTCCCTCCCCCCCCTCTGCCCCCCCCCTCTCCAGTGCGTCAGTACGCGGACATCTGTCTCTTCAGCACGGCTCAGTATAAATGTCCTGTGGCTCAGCTGGAGGCCGAGTGAGTGAAACACCAGAGGTCAGAGGTCAGAGGTCAGAGTGACTGAGCAGTTTGACTGACAGCTGTGTGTGTGTGTGTGTGTGTGTGTGACAGTGACCAGGTGTCGTCCAGCTCCACCTTCTGTAAGGTCTACACTCTGACCCCGACGCTGGACAAAAACCGAGAGAAGAGAGGACTGGCTCTGGACGGAAAACTGAAGCACGAGGACACCAACCTGGCCTCGTCCACCATGTAACCACGCACACACACACACACACACACACACACACACACACACACACACACATGTCCGCAGCATCAGGACCGTGTGTTTGTGTGTTTCAGTGTGAAGGACGTCACCAACAAAGAGGTTCTGGGAATCCTGGTCTCGTACAGAGTCAAGGTCAAACTGGTGGTCTCACGTGGAGGGTAACACACACACACACACACACACACACTCTCAGACTTTTATCGTTTAATCAGAGATGTCCGATAATCGTCCGATGTTAAAAATCGTTCTTGTTTTTTTTTTCCTCCTCAAATAAAACATCAAATGTTGTTGGACCTGAAGTCAGTTTTGGGGAGAAATGGCTGTTTGTTGAAGTGAAAGTCACTAGAGGGCAGCATTGCAGCTCGTTGTGTGAATCTGTTCAATGGTTGAATATCAACTGGTCAGGCTCCGCTGGTGCAGCAGGTCAACACAGGAAGCTGTTTGTGTGTTTGTCTGTTTGTGTGTTTGTGTGTTTGTGTGTTTGTGTGTTTGTGTGTTTGTGTGTTTTAGTTTTCACTGGACAAACACAAACAAATGTTTTAGTTTGTTTTTTTGTTGGTGTAAAAACAAACAATCAGGATTTTATTTTGAAAAGTTCCGGCTGATCTGCTCTCTACAACCTGCTGCTTCCTGTTTGTTCATGTGACACGTGTGTGGGCGGAGCCAGAGTGTGAAGACAGGAAGTAGAATGTCGCTCCGTGTCGGCCGTTTCACCCTCTGCTGTTGTTGCTCCTGTTGTCGGTGTTTGTTGTCAACGTGTTGCCTCCCCCTCCTCCTGACTCCTCCCCCCCCTCCTCCTGACTCCTCCCCCCCCTCCTGACTCCTCCCCCTCCTCCTGCCTCCTCCCCCTGACTCCCCCTCCTCCTGACTCCTCCCTCCCCTCCTCCTGACTCCTCCCCCTCCTCCTGATTCGCTGCTGCGAGGCGTGTTGCAGAGGTAAATGTCAAGCAGAGCCTGGAGTTGATGGTAGTTGATCTGGAGTGACTCCAGATCAGACCGGTTCAGTGTAGACTCTCTGTGGTCTGAAGATCCAGACCCAGTTCTACTGAGAACCGACGTTAGGATCGGGTCCAGAATCACTTTGAACTAAATGAAAACAAAAGTCCAGAAAAACCAGTTTAGAGGCCGTTTGGTCCTGTTTACACTTCCTCAGTGAATCTGGTTCAGACTGGTTTACAGACAGACTCACCTCAGGCTCTGTGTGTGTGTGTGTGTGTGTGTGTGTGTGTGTGTGTGTGTGTGTGTGTGTGTGTCACAGGGACGTCTCAGTGGAACTCCCCTTCATTCTAATGCATCCTAAACCGGTGGAGCCTCCGATGTCGCGCCCACAGTCTGGTGAGGTTAAAACACGTTTCATGTGCCGTCACTAGGGGGCAGCACAGACGTTAAATCATAAAGCGACGGAGCGTTGTGTGATGGCGTGTCTGTGTGTTACAGCTGTCCCAGAGATGGACCCGCCCATCGACACCAACTTGATAGAATTTGACACAAAGTAAGTGGATCTTTATGTCACTTCCTGTCTGTTTTTCCAGTGATGTCACTGTGTCACATGACTGCACTTGTTGCATCGCAGCAGCATCTCCCAGGACGATGACTTTGTCTTCGAGGACTTTGCTCGTCTGCGACTCAAAGGTGTCATGGACGACAAGGACGAGGACTGCTAGGAGATCGCAGACTCTTCGTACGCTCGCTTCAAACACACCAAACACACACACACGCGCGCACACACACACACACACACAGATTCACGTTACATTCCCAGGTGGAGGGGACAGAATAGGGCGCGTTTGGAAAGTGGCCTGGTGGAGGTCGGGCGGAGTTCTCCCTCTCTCGCTTCTGACGTTTGTCGCCAACGCTGCCATGTTCCGAGGCTAGCCTTCTCCATCGTCTTCTCTGTTGCTGCACATTTGCCTTTTTTTTTTGTTTTGGCTGAAGATCGGTGAAGTTGAGCGGCCGTGGGACAGACGATGGCGCTGTGTTTGTAGTCAGGGACGTGGGCGGTGTGGGCGGGGCTAAGTCGGAGGGCGTGCGTGTTTGAGACTGATTTTCTTTAAGAAACCACATGTAGGAAGCTGTAGAGTCGGAACGGAGTTTGTCTGCTTTTCCTTTCTGACGTGTTCTGAATGTTCGCCGTTACCTGCGTCTTGCTGAAACAGGAAGTATATATTTGAAACATAGAAGAAGAAACTAATCTGCGAGACGCCTGCGTTTGCCGCTTTTCTTCACGTAAACACTGTAAATGCTTTTCACGTCGCAAAGGGAGGAGAAACGTTGACACTCACACACAACAGTCTTACACAGTGACATCACCAGCATCCACCGCCACCTCACTTCCTGTTTTCATTTATTCCCACGTGTCGTTCACGATCATTCCAGACTTTTCTCTTCAACATCGTTCACGACAAGTTTCAGACTTGAGACGTTCGATGTTTAGCCTCATTTCTTGACTGACCAATCAGGCACCAGTCACCTGTACTAAAGACAACCAGCAGGGGGCAGGTTGTCTGTGACTCCAAATGCATCCAGCCATCAGAGGGCAGTGTTTATGACCTGCCAGCAGGGGGCTGTTTCCACCTTTGTTTCCAGGCCTGGTTTTGCGTTTTCCTGCTGTTTCTTCAAATATAAAAGTTTGTTGATTTAAACGGAGACGATGAATCTGTGGAAGTAGGTTTTAGTGTTTAGTCAAAGGTCAAAGGTGAACAAGGCTACGTTCACCTCTTAGGGGGTTTAGCCGTTGGTCAGACGTCTGATTGGCTGATGATTGACGTTGACTCATCCGTGTGCTGGGAGGGAAACGCTGTGACCTTTGGTTTATTGTCGTCTCCGTTCCCTGGATCTGACTTTTTTAATCTCCAAACTGATTTTGTGCCTTTTGTGTCTCGTTGTTGCCAAAGTCGGTGCAGTGACGCGTTAGCCCCCGATCATGACGTCAAAAAGACGAACTCTGATGTAACTCTTTCTGCCTTGGCTGCTGCTGCTGAGAGAAGCAGCGTCAGAGGGACTGTCAGCTGACACTGCCTCCTATTGGCTAAAACTGTGAAGAGCTGTCACCGTGACAGAGTTACACCGGTCAACACGTGCCCTGGTTTGGGGTAAAAAAAAAAAAAATTAAATAAATATGCAGTTTAGAATCCTCCGTCCTGACACAGAACGATTAAAAAGATCTATTTTTTTTTCTTTCATTTCTGCCAATAAAACCTTCCAAAGGTTGAGTCCCAGTTTGGATGTAGTTTCCAGGTTCAAACTTGAAGCTGGTGCCATGAAAAAAAAACGAGGAGATGATTTAAACTTCAATGAACCAAACGCTCCCAGTGTTTCCCCCTAGTGACCACAGTTGAATTCACACTCTGACGTCAAGCTTTTCTGCAGCTCCGTCAGCACTGGAACTGTTCAGCGCCACCGTGTGGTCATTGTTGACTTGTCACAGCAGCACTTTTGTCCAACATCCCACCAAACCGCACTCTCTTATTTAAGTTCACTCGCGACATTTCTGTGCAACTCTTCGCTCATCTTGTCGTTAAAAACTTGTTTTCGTAAATTCGTGACGTACAAACTGCCAAACGCCGCCTCCCCTTTTTCCCGCCTTCACTCAGAGTCACTGACGCTGCGAAAACCAGAAGGGAAGTAGAAGAAATCGACAGGAAGCATGTGTTTGGTTATTTTCCCTTGTTTTTTTCTTACGCAGTGCTGTGAATCGTACGAGCTGTGATTCTGTCCTTACGTTGTCGTGCGTCTGTGGGGTAACTTTTGCTAAGTGTGAAAATATTTTTGACAAAGTGCCACGCCCCGGCCTGTGCGATGCTAAACATGTCTATAAAAACCTTGAGGTGATTTCTCTGCAGGTGGCGCCACCACCACAAAAGATAAAGTTCTGATGATGATGATGATGATGATGATGATGATGATTCTTATTATGGTGACTATTATCTACTGTATCATTTGCAACATGATTATCCTCATAATCATTTAAGAGTCTATTGTTTCACCTTGTATTTTTTATTTTGAGATTTTTATTTTAGGTTTCTTTTTATTAAAGTTTAAATGAACTAACACAGCGTGGTGTCATGGTGGACTTTCTTCTTCTTCTTCGTTAGTGTCAGAGATCAAGAAGCCGGCGAGTCTCTTCAAAGACGTTCCTTTTTTTAACTGTTCATCATGTTCTAAATGCCAGCTGTCAGACACTGGTACCAGGTGGATGAGTTCAGGAGATCAACAGTGTTTAGTTAAATATCAAAATATTCAAATGAAGTGTGTGTGTGTGTGTGTGTGTGTGTGTCAGGTGACAAATTAATCCTGTTTACACAGTGGATTTACATGAAAGCAACGCCTTTAAAGTCAACATCACTGGAGTCACAGTTCACTGACGTGTTCACACACAAATCCACAGGGTTTAATTCAAATACAGTTTTATTGTGGACCCAGATCAGGTCTGACTCCAGATTCACTGTTGACTGGTTCTGGTTCTCACTGGTTCTCATTGGTTCTCACTGGTTCACACTGGTTCACACTGGTTCACACTGGTTCTCACTGGTTCACACTCGTTCTCACTGCTTCCCACTGGCTCTCACTGGTTCACACTGGTTCTCACTGGTTCTCACTGGTGCTCACTGGTTCTCACTGGTGCTCACTGGTTCTCACTGGTGCTCACTGGTTCTCACTGGTGCTCACTGGTTCTCACTGGTGCTCACTGGTTCTCACTGGTTCACACTCGTTCTCACTGCTTCCCACTGGCTCTCACTGGTTCACACTGGTTCACACTGGTTCACGCTGGTTCTCACTGGTTCTCACTGGTTCTCACTGGTGGGGACACTTTTTTAGTCTCTTAATCTAGTTCTAACAGTAAGTTAAGTAAAAAATCATTTTCGTCATAAAGCGTCGTAATCGTCATCGTCGTCATGTTTCCTCTTCAGTGACTCGCTGGCGCCCCCACTGTTCTGTGACACCATGTTGGTGGTGATGAGGATGTTTTTGGATCCAATCAGAGACGGGTTTATGAGGACGTTAGAGACGGACGGGGTGGACGGCGTGGCTGCGGACAACAGACAGACGAGGTCAGCGTTAAATGGACGGTTCTGGAGCGAGCCGCTCGGTTCTGGTTCTTACCGGTTTTGGTGGTACTGGTCTGAGAAGGGGGCGGGATCTGAACGGTGAACCTTTGACCCGTTAGAGAGACTGGCGTGCCAACCTTGGTGGTGACAGACTGGACCGACGGCGTCCCTGTTGAGACGACAGCAGTCAGAACACACACTGGTTCTGTTCACACTGACCACTCAGAACCACAGGTAACTCCACTCACCCAGCGTGGGCGTGGTCGGTCTGCTGGTCACAGCACCCACACTCAGGCGAGGAACTGATATCCTGCTGGCAGATGATGACACCTGGTGGACAAAAACAGTTGATGCACAGGACGCAGAATATTCTGACAGGAGGACGGGGAGTGTCCAGTGTCCTCACCTTCTTCTGGACCGTCTTCAGTCTGTAGTTCGGGGCAGTCAGGCAGTAGCGGTCTGGAGGAAGTCGGGGTCCGGTGTAGGGTTTGATGAGCGGGAGGGGAGTCTGGTTCTTCTGTCGGGCCACCTCCAACAGGAACTAAAGAGACAGAGCAACGGTCAACAACCAAGAACCCAGACAGACGTACCAGCTGTGGACATCCCTGGATTCATTACGTCTCTGGGTGGGGGGGATGTGAAGGACTGGTCCATCCGACACTGAATGGCCAGTTTTATGTCATCGGCATCAACGCTGGGCTTCTTGGCGTGCGAGGAGTAGATCTTAGCGTCCTCGATGATGGTGGTGACGTATCCTACAAACAGAACCAGCCGTGACTCTTCAACATGACGACATGACGACATGTAAACCCAGGGAGGTGGACCTACTGTAGGTGAACTCCAGCATCTGGTTGACGACTCGGGGCTCATACTCTGTGATGCCCATGTCCTTCAGGATCTGGATCATCACCTGCACAAGAAACACCACATCACCAACACGGCTTCTTGTTCACTTACACGTGTGGCCACCGGAGGCAGCATTAGACAGGAGTTCCCGTGTCTCTGAGTCAAATGGACTTTCGTTTGGCAGAGAACGTGGTTTACCGGGGTTAGCATAAGCATCTCGTACGAATGAACTTTTTTAATTCGTAAATTGTAACTTTAAGTTTAAGAAAATACATTTAGTTAGAAGCACGCAGCGGTCAACCCGCCAATCAGAAGACAGCAAGGCAGCGATTGGTAACAAACTCCAGGTATCATCACCCGGGCGGTCTGCAGTCACAGCAGCAGCTGAGCTGCGTTCACTAAATAAAAACCCTCGTTTGAAAGGCAGAAAAATGTCATGGCCGCGAACTGTTGGTAAGTTCCTCAATTTATGTATATATAATATAATATATAACCAAAGTCCAGTAACACCTGAGCTAAATTTATAGCATTTCTCTGATGTTTTTGAAGACAGCCGATGCTAACATTGTTAGCTGCAGAGGCTAACTGCAGACGTGCGGCTCAAACAGCAGCGGTTTCTCTGCATATACTCACGTCACCGGATCTTATTCTGTAAATAAAACTCGTTCAGATTCGGCGGAAACGTTCGTGTAAAAGTGAACGGTGGTAAAAAATCGTCACCTGCGCGTCTTTCGGGATGGTTTTTGGAGCAGACATTTTGATTTTCCCTGCAGCGATACTGCTTCTTTGACTGTTTCCGGTCAAAGTCACAAACACAAGACGTCACAGCGACACCTGTCGTCGCTAAAAACATTATTGACTCATACGTCAAATAAATGGTTTTTTTTGTTTATCAATCACTTTTTGTCTAATTTGTGAAATCTGTACGTGAAGACAACAGTCTCTGTTTGGAGACTGACTTTAGGATAAGATCAATTTGCACAAAACTACGAGGATAAAGGTGTAAATACGGTAAATGGACAACAGTATAATTATCACTGTAATCGGGCATAAACACAAAATATAGCAGTGGTAAAAAATGTGATTATTAATATTATACTCTATTATATTATTGATAATAATTACTATTGTATATTTTCTATAAGAATGTTTTGCAGTTGATCAGCAGGGGGCGCCACAGCAAAACCTAGAAAAGGTTTCATTAACAGATACTGTCGTCATGAAGTCGTATTTACAAATGTGTTCAAAGCTGAAGGGAAACTGACCTGCGGTCAGATCAGAGCAGTTGTCTTTTCTCTTCGTTGTTGTGGTTGTTCACAGTCAGCTGACGTGTGTGTGCTGGTTGTACGGTGTCGTACAACAGTGTGTTTGTTGTTGTTGGTCTTTTTATATTTCTGCCATCGTTCACGTCAGTGTCTGTCTTTCGGTGTCTTTACCGTCTTCGGTCTTCAGTCTGTCGGATCATTTTCTATTGGTCCAAATATGAGTCCTTTGGTCAAACGTTTTGTCACTGTGGACAACGTGTCCCTGCAGATGTTTTTGTCCCGAGGGACTCCGGCTGTACTCCCTGTCCTGTGTACCTTCAGGAAACTTAGAAAAAAAGTTAAAGTTTTTAAAGTTAAACTAAATGACATTTTGTAGTTGTTGATTTTTTTTTTCTTTGTGGTATTTAGTTTTGTACTTTCATCACTCAGGCTCATAAACGTCCGTTTGTTTGCAGTCATTTTTCTCTGTTTCTCTAAAAGTCTGGACCGGAATCTGAGGCTGACGACCATCTGTAAACGTTAATGATTAAAAACACACAGAGATGTGACGGTTCTCATGGCTTTACAGCTGTGTGTGTGTGTGTGTGTGTGGGAAAGTGTGACTGTGTATCCAGCAGCTGTTAGCATGTTAGCATGTTAGCACGCACTCCTGTCAAACTCTGGTTCATAAATTAAAGACATACTGACAGTAGAGTTTACCCAGAATTCCCTGTTGTTGAGAGTCTGCTGCTGGTGATGATGGTCAGCTGGTCCAAACAGTTCAGGGAGAGGGAACCCATGATTGAGCCAACCGTAAACAGGAAGTGGAGTCAGAAGACAACAGGAAGTGGAGAGGACGCTGGTGGAGATGAGCTGGAGCTCAGAGGTGGAGGAGAGACTGATGGAGCTGTGGTGGAAGCACCAGTCTCTGTACTGTTGGTCACAGGTCAGAGGTCAGGGGTCAGGGGTTAATGACGTCTCTTGTCCTTAATTGCTTTGACCAACATTCTCAGGCCCAGACTGCTTTGATGCGTGTGTGTGTGTGTGTGTGTGTGTGTGTGTGTGTGTTGTTCTCCTTCCTCTGTTGTCAAACATGAACTTGAAGGAGAACAAGGTTCTTCTGCAACGTCCTGTGTCGAAACATCGCATTATCAACAGGACAAAGGTTAATGAGGGGAGGACACACACACACACACACACACCTTTATGACACAGGTAAAAGCAGGTCAGAAAAAGAACAGGGCGGGAAATGTGATCTTTGAAAAAAGAATCTGTGTGTGTGTGTGTGTGTGTGTGTCCAGGCCGACTGGTCAACAAAACACAAAGGTCACTGAGGTCAACTGTATATATGTCCATATATATATATATGTCCATATATATGTGTCCATATATATGTCCATATATATGTGTCCATATATATATGTCCATATATATATGTGTCCATATATGGACATATACTGTATATATGTCCATATATATATGTACATATATATGTGTCCATATATATGGACATATATATATATATGGACATATATACAGTATATGTCCATATATGGACACATTGTCCATATATATGTGTCCATATATATGGACACATATATATGTCCATATATATGTGTCCATATATATGGACACATATATATGTCCATATATATGGACATGTTAATTTAATTAATTTTCTTCTGGAAAAAACTTTTTTTTCTGCTGCTGGAATTCCAGTCATTTTTCCAGCTGTTGAGATTGTGTGTGTGTGTGTGTGTGTGTGTGGTGTCTTTACTGCTCCTGTGTTTGTGTGGCCAATAATCCAGGGGGTATTAGGGGCAGTTAGTCTATTGTAAATGGCAGTTTATGGTAAAATGGCCCATAAAGGTTTATGAGGAGATTATTGACACACTTTTCATTTTTATTTGCTCTTATTATTCTCCCTGTTTGTTGACGACACAGCAGGAAACAGGAAGTGACAGGAAGCTGCTTCCTGTCACTTCTTGAAAAATATATTTTTTCTGTTCTTTCTATTGTAGTTAGAAACAAACTTGAGCTGGTCGCCGTTAGCCGTTAGCCGTTAGCCGGTCTTAGTCTGTCAGTAAGTCAGCCTACCATAGGTTGGTTCAGATGAGCCTGACTGAGTCCAAGTCTCTACGGTGAGATCATGTGACCTGGGTGATAACACTAGACTGGTCTCATTAACACAGTCATCATTATACAACCTGACAGAGCTGTTCACACTGTCCTGCAGAGGAAAGTGAAACTGACACACACACACTGACACACACACACTGACACACATTGATAACATGTCAGGGAGGAGCTGATTTTCTTCTCCTGTCAAAGGTCAATGTCTGTTTCATCACCTGATGATCTGAGGAGGAAGTCCTCATTGAATTAAAAAACATTGTGGACGATTTAGTGACATCTAGTGGAGAAAAATATATATAGAATTAAAACAAGGCAAACGTTGTAAACGATATCCACACCGGAACGATCTATTTTTTTTTACCAAGTTGTTACCAAATTTTTTCTGAGGTTTGGTTTGAGCTAAAATCACT